TGGTCAATGGGACAGCAGGTTCAGCATCTACTAGAAAAGAGAGAATTCATTTTAGATATCTGAAGGAACTAGAGCAGTGATGCTCAAGGCTATGGGTGACCAAGTTCAAGCAATAGTAGAGGAATTTTCCTCCGCGCTGCGCCAGGAATCCTTGAACAATCCCATGATTAATACTGCAGCTCCAACAGGCACCCAGGCCAAAGATAGGTTGCAGGACTTGTCGCCCTCCCTCCAGACAAAAGCAGGGCTCGGACAAGACTTACCGAACAGCAATCCTTAAAACTTTGCTGCCGAACCAGTGAGCTAGCAAGGCTGGGTCACCATTCAACTCTAGTGTTGCTGTGTACCAGATTCCATAATTCATTTTGAGATTTTTATTTATACTTTTGTTACCTGCCCCGAGACAGTAATTAAGGATTAATAAAGGATGGACTTGGAAATTTTGGTTGCTTATGGAAGATTTCTACTTAGCTCTAGATTAGATCACACGTTAATTTAGGCATTTATTGACTTGGGAGGAAAAAATATTACTCTTTTGGTTGTTCACTTGAAATTTAAGTCAGATTTATGTCAACAAATCAATAGAGTAAAATTTGAAAGCCATAACCTCCGTCTAGAGTATAAAACAAAAATGAATCGGCTTGGGAATCCACCTTAACACCGGAAAAAAGGAAAAAATACCGCACACAAACACACACAAACTTAAAACATTAATTGTCAAGAATAACACTTATAAATAACTGGATCCGAGTAAATGATGTACAGGCTATCTGATCTCATCTTGAAACGTAGATGTAAAGGTACGGATGCTTGTGTCACTTAAAAGGTGGTTTCTCCACCGCATCCAAAGGTCTAAACCAGTGGATCAATACCAAATTTTCCACTCTAAAGAACTAACTATACAATTTAATTGGAGCTGCAGATAATGTCTTGAGTGAAAATGCCTGTAACAACCGTGTTACATTGCACAGAATCAGAAACGCTGAAATGGGGCCGTCATAAATATACAGACAACATAAGTGTATATAAAAGGCCAGTGCTCAGTGTTTGACAATTTTCACTGTAGATATGAAGCTTTGTTGACTTTGTTTAAGATTGATCACAAAACGGCTCCATGAATTGCCGCCTTCTCCATTAAAACTCAAAAGGGAGGACCAATCATTTTAGCCAAAAAAAGGTCTGACTACCCGGAGTCTGAGTCCAAGTCAATAGAAAAATTTAATCTCGGTCTTACTGAACGTTTTTGCCGAGGAACTGAAAAAGGGCCATCTGATCTTGGCTTGCTTGTCCTGTCTGACCTACCATCATTTGTTCCAAGCAGTGAAGCTGCACAAGGGAGAAGAGTTGGTTCAGCAATCTAGTAATTAATGACCATAAGAAAGAAATATATGCAGAAAAGAATTGATGTAGCCAGGGTGTGGTAAAGCAGTGAATCATAATTCTGTACTTGAGGTTTACTTGAATTCTAAGGTTGGAATCTATGCCAATTAATTCCATGCAGCATAACAGAATTCTTTATAATTCAAAGAAAATGACTTTAAGGCTTGATAATTGAATAGTTTGAAACAACCATGGAATAGATCTGTTGATCCAAAGTCAGGCAGCCAAAAACATTGGCTCTACATGTACTGCCTTGCATACTTGTGTATTAGCCAAGCTTGAGACTCACTCCCATCTGCTGGCCATTAGTGATGACAAATTAAAACAACTCATAGGTCTTCAAAGAAATAAGGAAACGAACCGGGATTAGCCAAGGAAACTACATCACCTCCCCTGGAAGGTATCTGCTGCCTTGAATTGAATCCATTCACAGTTCCTGAGTCACCAAGAGCACCAGTTGCCCCACCACCAAGGCTAAGTGAAATCCAATCAGCACTACCGATGACATTTGATACATCAGTTTGTTCTCTCAAATCAGACTGCATTGATGCACCTGAAGGCTGTGTTGAAAGAAACATCCGAAGAGAAGGATCATCTCCACCAAATGATGAATTGTCAACCAAGCCATCATCAATTTCTGGATCACCCTGACCAACAGAAGAACCTGGAACAAGAGTTCCAGAAACTATTGTGGTTTCTGGAGCCAATGTGTAGCCATTCATTGACGTGGGGCAATTGATAGAACCATGTTGCAAATCAACTAAGGCATCTGAGACATCAATATCTGCAAATAGTTGAAAACCTGCGCCTTCCTGGGTTACAGGTGGCCACAGAGGCATCTCAAATTCATCGTGACCATTAAAAAGACCCAAGCAAGCATTACCAGCATTCACAATTGTCGGATCTTCTGGATATGGATGGGAAATTCCAGGAGGCACTGAAAAAGTACCATCAACAACATCAGTTTGATTGTCCTTATATGCTGTAGAAGCTATTAATATTTCATTCTCTTCATCGGAGTCACTAAGAACAATAACTTCCGCATTTCCTGCTGCTGCAGATTGATCTTGGTCAACAAAGCCACATGCTATATGTGTATTCAAAGGCATGGAATCAAGCTCAATTCCATTGGCGGTAAACTCATAGGCCGTCCCACCATCCTGATTTACACTTGGATCTTCACCATCCCTACCACTGCCAGTGGCACTGCTGCTCATTGGAATAAATTTCTGCTCATGAGGTTCAAAGTTACCCCTTAACCTATTACCAGAAGAGGTATTCAAGACCTCATGTTTGCTAACTTCCCAGTTACCATTGCAGTTCTTCCGAATTCCAAGTTTCAAGCCAGTATGACCATCTGAAGCACCCTCTTGCTTAATCTGCTTTGACATTTCAACACTTGGCTTAACCTCTCCACCAGCAGTTGCACACAGAGTACTATCAGGATTGTGCCACTGCGAAAGATCTCCAAGTTCCTTACGCTCACCATCAGTTTTAGCCTTTACACGCCAAGACCCATCAGGCTTCACCTCAATTTCTGTAATATCTTCTCCACAGTTCCTCATCTATACAATAGAAATAAACATCTAATCAACACTGATGCCTTGAGATAATTAGTTTAGTTAAAGATGAAAAAAGGGAAAAAAAAATACCCTGTGGCTAAAATCATGAGATCCACAAAGTAATTACCTTGGATGCAATTTGATTAAAATAAGGATCGAATATAATATTCTCCAATGAGTAGTTCTTGAGACAAATAGGGCACTGCCACTGCAGATGTGAAGCAATGATTGGTCAAAAACTGCAGCTGATGTAAGGATAAAAAGAAGAAAATTACCAAATGACAATATAAATGAATGCACTGTTATTTTCTTGCCTTCCTAGAACGTTGGTTCAGCTCCACAAAAACATCAAGATCAAAACAACCCATGTGAATACAGGGTTTAAACCGTCCAGCTACCTTCATCCGTGAACCACTCACCTATCCACAGGTAAGCAAAGAAGAAAATAAACAATTATAACTTCAAAACAAGATAATTGAAGTTGCCACACCAACAAAAGATTGCATCCAAATTCTGATAAGCAGGTGGTGGAACTGAAGGACAACACAAATTTATCTACCCAAATGACAAATGATAAAGCAGTTCTACAGTGAGGAAGTATAAGCTCACGATGGCACATGTGGTGAACAAAAATTACTATGATAGCTATTTGAAACATTAGTGCCTAATTACCAAGAGGAAAAATGTGAAACAAGTTTCCAGCATGAATCCTGCACATGCCTACTAAACAAGGAAGCATGCAACATTGTGACAAGGGATCACAAATTTGAGCAATCACCGAACCATTTATTGGAAGTCCATAGACAAAAGGGATTAATCATGTGGCCTGGGATATGATTTTTTATTTGTTAATCATACATCATTCACATACCATGCGGTCAACATAAATTTAGTTATTGTGCAATTTAAAACATTTCTTAAACTACAAATCTTACGTCAGAGGTCAAAAAATTTCATATTTGAAAAGGTATGCCCAATGAATTAAACATGGAATATCTGCATAATGTCTTACTGGACAACGTAGACTGACGCCAAAAAAATCTGCAACAACTTCAATATCACTGTCACTATCACCATTATCTGTTGCAGCTCCACCACCAATACAACGACAAACACGAGCAAGAGCTTCTTCCAACCGTTCACCATCAGATTCCTTTGGAATCATGGCAAGAATCTACACAGAAAAACAGAATAAAATAAATAACCATAATGAGCTTGGAAAGTAAATTATTGGAGCAAAACATCTCTATCAAAAAGTGACTATGACTTACACCAATTTTTTGACTCAGAAAGTTTATCATTTTACATGTCTATTACCATAAATAAAACTAAAACTTGTGCAAAAATCCAAAAAATCCATCTCAAAGACATAGATTGAAGGAAGCTTGACTTGCCTGTTGAACTGTTTGACGCTTGATGAGTCTAACACCAAAACAGAACACACGGGGATCACACCCAGTTAAGGTAATCTTATTGAATCCATCTTTGGTGCATGAAGTTATCTGACAAAATAGAACAAATTTTGAGCAGCAGGAAATAACTCATAAGGTATCTTAGGCTTTATTTATTTATTTATTTATTGGCCATCAAACAATAGATATATCTTAGCATAGAAGCAAAAAAAGGTAACCAAATTGATAAAACTAGCCACCCTCTTTCCATAACTTCCTTGCCCCCTTTCCAGAACACACAGACAGCATTCAGAAACTAAGCTACTACACATGATACATAAGAAAACAAAGGATGAGAAGAAAATTCATTTGTTTTGGAGAGGAGCAAGAACTTACAATAGGACCATCATCACGGCCATTAGCTCCAAGCTGTTGTGAGCCAGGTCTATCAATAGCACGAACAGAGACACCTGTTAATCAAACTGTAAGTCGCCAGAAGGAAATATACCCATTATACATACACTGTTCCACTATAAGGGAAAAAACATTCATCACAATCTGATATTTTAAGAACCAAAAATGCATTAAAGTCAACAAAATTCCAGAAGCACGACTACAAAAAACTGCTGAGTACAGATGAAATCACAAGAAAAGGCAAAACTCAATAAAAGTAAAAGAATAGATAACCATACCATTGACCTGCAAATCTGCGTACTGTGGCCAGTGCATCCGAAATGGAACTTTGTCATTTAGAAGCATGCACCATGCCTGAAAAATGATTGCAAAAACCATCAGCATGCATACCACTAAATAGATTTGAATCATGCACATTTCTTAGCTAACAAACCTGAACATCATACTCTTGCTTTGTCAGTGACTCCTTGTCCGCTCTTGTTAGTTGAAATGTTCTCTCAACACTTTGAACTGGGTTTGTACTGTTACATTTTTTTGATACAAAGGAATGGATCATACCAACTAAATAAGACAAGTAGTATATACATACAGACTGCTGGATAAAATGAAAGCAAAAGAAATTGTTGTAGACTTGCAGTTGCTATGCAAGGCACGCCAAGAGGGAGGAAGGGAGGAGGGGGTTTAGGGGCTAAAGCTTATCTATTCCAATCAAACACACTCACCCATCATTTGGGATATTGGTAATACTCAACTTCACTGGATATAATAGGTGTCCAATCGTATGTAAAAAACTGCATTAAAAGAACAATGTTAAAATTTTACAATTGCCAAAAGAATATTACCACAAGCCATTAATAAATTTTTGTATACAGCAAAATGTTGTTGATCTCCAATTGCTGTATTCATTTGCCTATGGCAGAAGTGCCACAATAGTTCATGTTAAAACTTATAACTAATGCCTCCACTGAAATGAGGAATACATACAGCAACATGCAAAGATGATTAATCAGTTTTCATTATTCATAGGCTATATGCAGAAGTTAACAAACAAAAGTCTCAGGGGTTAAAAATCTAACAGCCTGTTTGGATTAAGGAAAATTAGACGAAAGGAAAGGATTTTTGTCCAATCAAATAACGATATTGGACAAAATATTCATTTAGTTTGATTAAAATCATTTCCTTTCCTTTTCCATCAACCTAAACATGCAGCTCATTCATAAAGCATTGTAAAATCCGACCTAAAACCAATTCGAAATAGGTGGAGTGGTCCACATTTTCCCGCTTAACAAGTAACAATGGATTAAGATAGTGATACATACGGGTCAGCTCGGCTGAGACGGCAAATTTCACAATAAAATGGATCAGGATTTGGTGGCTTTTCCTCCATAGGTTTCTCTGGAATTATAACACAATCAATATGTTGCCACACTTCGCATCTGGGGTCGTCACACTGTCATTAAAAGAAAGAATGATAGCTAAAGCATCAGCTACACATTTTGAGGTAAATGTAAAGCAAAACTGCATAGGCTGAGAAAAGGAGGGCAGTCAAGTCTTTAGATTCTATATCTTCTCTTTGTAGCATGCCAAGAACAAACAGCGGTACATTTCGGTTTTCATACAGCACCTCAATATTGCAATTCATGTGATCAAAAACCAAACATCTAATTTAGAAGTAATAACCATGAATAGAAATATGAGTAAAACAAGATAACAAAAGACTGCAATATCTAAATGCAGAGCAACATGATATATAAAATAATAGAGTTCAGCTACCTCCACGTATTTTCAATCAAGTTTGAGTAAAAGCAGAAACATAAAAGCAAAAACGTATATGACATTGGAGAAGCTCTTTTTATCACCACCTTGATCAAGGTTTCTGTTTTCAAAGGACTTCCACAAGGACATCGAACTTTTATATCTAAATGGGAAGGATCATCAATTTCCCCTTTACTTTTTACATTGCTACTATCTGATGTGCATTGTCCCTTTGATGCCAAATCAGTGGTTCCGGAAACCTGCATCTTTCTGAAAAGAAGAGGAAACATATACACTCAAGAGTGATGAGGCAACAGCAAAATGATGAAGTATGAAACATAAAATTTTTATAACTTAAGTAAGCATGCTCAATCAAAAGTGACCAGCAAAGAAAGAGAGACATATAGCAATATACCTTCTAAATGTTGTTAACCAAACAATAGTTGTGATAAATAAAAAAACGAACCTGTAAGTATCATCAACCAGTTTTGCAACCAATTTTGCCACCTCTTCCTTTCGAACAGCAGGACTCTTCTTATTAACCCAAATCTTTGAAACTGAGAAAAATATGACAGAACAAAGTTCAAATAATAAAAGGTGGTTATCACTTAAAAAAATAAACATATTCCAAACAAGATTTCGAAAAAGAAATTGCATATGTATGGAATCAAATCCCAAACCAATATGTATTACCTTGTTCTTCTGACAAAGCACCCAATATCCTTTCAACAAGGTCCTACACAAGATAAAAATAACAATTCAAGAACAATCCTCCATAGTGGATTACACACACAGTTTTGGGCAAGGGGAAAGTAAGGAAAGGCAGAAATGCTGTTGAAAGCATGTACAAAACGGACATGGAGGATAAATTAATTGCTAATATGTTTTGCAAGAAAAATGTGCAAGGGACACTTAATCCAAGAAAACAAGTAAGAGCTACGGATGCTCTCAAATTCCATACAACAGAAATGAAAGTAGTTGAGAAATTAGAAAATACGGGGCCTCTAACCTGCTTCTTCCCTTGCTTTGAAAGACTCAGCTGACTAAGAACATCCTTGAGTTCTTTTATTCGAAAATATGACAATTTTTCCTATAAGAGTGTTTCAAAGTTGTCAATAACGCTTCACAATCAAAGCTCCAAAGGGACAGAGAAAGACTAGCTCAAATAATTCTTGAAACAAGAACTGCTCGACAAAAGGAACTATAGTTTCAAAATTCCATACAGGATAATCATATTTGCAAGCATAATAAAGTTACGCACTGGAGCTTAAATTTAAATTTGTGGCATAACAAGGTTAATAGTTACAATAAAGAAGCATCATTCATAGCAAGAAGCAAGCGATGCTGCATTTTGCTGTGTGAAGTAACAGTTCTATTCTTTTTAACCTACATAGCTGTTTAATAAACAATTGCTTTCCCCCCTTCTAATCGACAGCAACTGATGATGAAAAAAATAATCTATAAAATCGAAAATGAAATCTTCTTAGGTGTTTAAACAGCTCGCTGAATTCAACGAAAGCTAAGAAAAGCTCTACACTCCATAGAGATCCCCTGCCTTACATGATTGCATACTATTTCAGGAAAAGAAGTACAAGACAGCAAATCACAGCAGCAAAAAATCAAATTAAAGATGATAAAAAATAGTAACTATTGACAATTTCGAATAACATGAATAAACAGCTTAGCGAATACCCTGCAACTTGCGACCAAATCCATCTTCGAGTCTTCTAAGATCGGAGCACCGATCAGTTCACAGTTTGTCGCCGAGAAAACCAGGAATCACAGAACCAAACCTACTGAATTAGCCAATACTGCGTCCAAACAGCAATCGATCTAATCAAAATTACGAAACAAAAACAGAAAATTCATCGATTCTCAACAGAACAAAATCAATCGCCTCAATCGAATAACAAA